TACTGCTACTACTGCTACTACTGCTTCTACTGCTATTACTGCTACTACTACGACGAGTTCGACGACCACGACGGCGATTACGACTACTACGACGACTACTCCTACTGCTACTACGACGACCACTACCACTACTACCACCACGGCGACGGCTATTTGACTGTTGAGCCGATTACGACGACGACGACGACGACTGCTACTACTCCTGCGTGTGCTGCTGCTGCTGCTGCTACTACTACTACTACTACTACTACTGCTGCCGCTACGGCTACGCCGACTGCCAACCAATTCTACGACTAGGAGTCCTTGGTGTTTGTGCTTCATCCTGCTACATGCTATGTGGCATGGCGTGTCTGTGTGTGACGACCATGTTGTCTTGACACTGGTTTTGCTTCGTGCCGTTGCTACATGGTGTCGGGCAACAGCAGGAAGTGGCGTAAAAGCTGTTAGATAGGCACAAGCATGCCGTGTTTGCAATTCGTGCTGGAACGTGGCTGTACTCTTGGGCTTTTGTGGCTACAGGAACGCCCCCTTGAGCGCAATTTCATGGATGGTGGCCAGAAGCGGATTCCTTTTCGAGGTGACAAGCCTATGGCTTATGGCTGTGCGTGGCTGTATATGGTCAAGCATTTGCTGTAGAATGGACTGCACTTCTGGCCACGACCCTCATGCAGCGCAAGTATGTGCAGACTTCCCAATGCCGCACCTCTGCCCACACGCACGAAGCCAAGGCGCCCTTTTCCTTAAAGTGATGCTAATAATTGAGGCTTAGCGCTTACACAAGCAACCTTACAAGGGAATACATACTCTAAGCAAATAACTTAAGCCCTACATCTGTGCCACGATGCAACAGTCGGCTGCGGCCTGGCCCTCGGCAATCATTGAAAATCTCGGTGGCGGCTAACTGCGCCAAGCTCTGTTTTTCAAAGAGCGAATTGTGGACTTTCTCGGAAGTGGGAACTCCAACAGAGGGTTCCTAGTCATCGGGTCTGAGTATTCCTAGGTAACCCTAAACAACAGCATGGAAATCTGGACCAACACTTCATGGAACCCTGCGTTGACGATCCGAAATTCTGAGACGTTCCGGTGCCTTGCAAAACTCACGCCGTCGGTGTCCCAGCCGACAAGGATCTTTTGATCTCCTTAGCCAAGCGTTCCCTATGTTCTCCACGACTGCCCGTAGTACGTGCGACAAGGATGACAGTAGTAATGAAGCTGCTGGGGGATGAACAAGACTGACAAAGAGTTATAAGCTTCAACTGAGCTCGGACACTCTGAGTGTTTAGTTTTTCATGTGGCATAGGTTAGATAGTGTAAGGCCCTGCTCCGGAGTAGTTGTGCCATTCCGAAAACCTGTTACGTCAAATTGATGACAAAGCGGATCACGCTGCTACACATCGGCAATCCCAAAGGCCACACTTACTCTTGATCCCAAAGCACTGCCCGACTGGTTGAACAAAAGCCCACTTCAGTTTCCCAGGACCCAGGCCTTCAGATGCTTGCCACCCTAAGAACCTTAAACCTTAAACCCTAAACCCTAAGAACCTTAAACCCTAAACCCCCAACCCCTTGTGGAGCAGGCTTGCGTAATCTCGCCTGGACACACTGAACCGCTCGTGTTCACTACCCATAGGCCCTGAAGTAGTTCCTTTTGGGGGTCCATATATAGAATCCTATAAGGTAACCCCAAAAAGGAACTACTATGGGGCCTATGGGCACTAGCGCACTAATAAGCTCAGCATAACACTGAACCCCAAGCCCAATGCTTTCCGGGATGGCGCCAAGGAATATGTGCATCAGCGTCAATTCTCTCAGCTGGGCCCAGGAGGCAGACTAAGCCAAGCACCACAAACATATCAATAGTAGCAATGGTAAGTCATACCAATAATACCAAAAATTATGATAAAATACTTATGGTGAGAATGATGCTAACAGTATCAACAGTAATGAATAAAGCAGTAATCACACTGATAATGCCCAAGTTTTGCTGTAGATTTCGCCCATGTTTCAATGCGGAATTAGGTGCTGCGATCGTGGGGTCTCCTTACTAACCTCACTTGTTAAAGCATACGAAAGCAACTGCTAGTTTTGTCATGTAGTCACTCCCCTTCATCGTCACTTATGTCATCGTTGTCCTCACAACTGCATGTCGCATACTAACAAAAAAGAGCAGCTTCAAACCCGGCAGCAGCAGAAGTAGCGGCAGCCGCTGCAGCAGCAGCAGCAGCAGCAGCAGTGCAACAGTGCAGCAAAGGATTTCTGCCGTCGCGTGAACAGCCTTTCTTCTATGCTCCAAGGGACGAGGTATGCCTCGTTGGAGGGGTCGAGGAGCAGGGCCTTTGAGATGTGCTCCTGCAGGTGATCAGGGAGGCCCTTCGGAATGGACTTCGAGGGTTCAGAACTGTGTGGTTAGCAGCTCTGGAGCTGCACTTGGAGGATCATGGGACTTAGTAAGTAAGGTTATAGGTCCCCGAATTGGGGTTATAGGTATACTTACTTTAGTTATAACCCTACTTACTAAGTCCCATGATCCTTTAAGCATGCCAGCAGAATTCTTGCAGTTGCACGTCTGCGCAGCTCCGAATGACTCATGACTGAACTCAGGTGGTTGCGTGGCTTGACAGGCAACAACTCCCGAGTGACACTGCTATGCAGGGAGTCCATACTTTCATGATTATGAGCAAACGAGACCTTCGCGAAAGATTGCGACTTACAGTCACACAGCTCCCTCCGCAGGCTACGGTAGTACTCTGAAGCATGCACGCGGAAGGGATCCCCACCCGAGTGATCTAATCCTGGGCTTTCTGGCTGTCTTCCAGGTACATGTACAACGTCGCCAAGTTGGCAAAGCAGACATGCAGCCTCGACTGGGCCGGGGATGTGTGCGATCGTTACATACACTCTCAGCTGCATCTCATGTCATGAACACTATGCTACAAAGGTGTGGGGCCCTCGAGCTCGAACAGGAAGGGTGGGGCACAAGCAGACAACGCACAGGAAAGGTGAACCATGCACTGGGGCGGGTCATCTGGCGGGTCGATGGGATGCAAAATCAGATTGCTGAGCCGTGAGGAACTTACGGTTCACCTGCGCTTCTAAGGGTTTGGACTCTCGCCTGCGCTTCTAAGGGTTTTTTCCCCTCTCGGCACACTTCTCGATTTGTGCGTGTCGTACTTGCTTCCAAGGGTTTAGGGTTTAGGGTTACCATTGGAGACGAGGCCATCAGGTCCAAAGTTCAACATCATCAGCTGCAGGTTATCACTGAGCGCTGCCCTGCCACGATATTGCTTGTGCCCAGGCACGATGGGTCCAGGCGCACGGCCTGGCAATAGCTCTCGATGGCCGCCGCGATGTCATCTAGCGACCTGGTCCCAGCTTCGTGTTATATCCTTAATGTAGGGGCCTAAATAATTACCTATTTTACCTATCTTATTTTGGGGGCTCCTTATTAACATTAGAGTATAACGGGCCTCAATTAAGGCCCCTACATTACTCGCAACCAGGGCTCAGGGCTCAAAAGATGGTGGCCTTAACGGCATAAAATCGGGGCCTAGATAACTACCTATACTATTTTGGGAGCTCCTTATCTTAATTATAGTAGAATGGATACCTAAACTCCTAGACCCTAGATGCTTCGTAGGGTTTTGGAGTTTCTCAGCATGCAGACGAGCGTCTGCATCGCCACGCCCAGGTGAGCCCAGACTTCTGCCTGGCCCAGGAACAAGGGGCTCAGGATCTCCGGGGGGCTAGAGGGGTTTCAGGGTTTAGGGTTCACTTTTGCTTTTTAGAAAGGGCTCAGGATCTCTGGGTGGCTGAAGGGGTTAAGGTTTTTTGGGTTTTCTTTGCTGTTGACACCTTTTTTCCAGCTTCATGAACGTCCATGCTGCCGGAGAGCCCTCTTGGGTTTAGGGGTTTAGGGTTTAGGGTTTAGGGCGCTTCTCGACTTGTGTTCACACTCTCACAACTCGGACGAGCCAGGTTTCGGGTCTTTCGGGTTTCGGCACTCAGCCAACCTCGCCCGGCTTGTCCCAGAGTTGCGAGGGTTCAGGGTTTTGGGCTCAGGGTCTGGAGCGGCGAGGAGCTAAGAATACTATAGAAATACTGATGGTAATACAAATAGTCGTAATAGTACCACTAATCTCTAATAGTATAGAAATCATGATAGTAATACGAATAGACGTAATAATAGTACCACTACTGCTAGTAGTGGCAACAATGATAAGACTTTAATTAAGTGTGCAGGTTTGTTGCTGGGCCTTAGGTTTTCGGGCGCCGAAGTTGCCTGAGGGCCTCAGGGTATTGAGTGAAGCCCCCTAAAGCCTAAACCCTAAACCCCCCAAACCCTAAACCCTCAGACTTGTAAGGGCGTGGGCTTTGCGGGTGTTTGGACTCTCGCAACTCGGACTCTCTGGGCGAGGCCAGTCGGAGGCGAGACTGAGCAGATCCAGGGTTGCAGGGTAATGTAGGGGTCTGAAGACTTACCTATATCATTTTTGGGGGCTCCTTCTGATAATTATACTCCCTATAAAGCCTATTCTAATTATTATGGCCCCTTTTTTTCCGCTTGACAGCTCATGCGTGATTAAGAGTAGCGTGGCAAGTGGACACAGGTCTAATGGCTTTCGCCTCAATGTCTGACAACCCTATGTCACACTGCCCATGATCGTAAAGCAAACGATCGGGTCTAGTCGAATTTAGGCCGTCGGGATTAGGGTTCTTGGCGAGCTAGGTGGGGATTTCGCTACGGAGTATGGATACACAGGATTTTGCTGCACTGTGCTGCTGTGCCAGGTCCAGCACGCTATAGTCAGCTTTAGCAGAGCTGCCTGGCTCTTGGTTTGTACCGTTTTGTCATTTTCGAAAACACCCGTCATGCTTCAAGCAGCTTCAAGAGTGGGAGTCCGACCTCGCCGAGCCTTCATAGTGTGGCTTGTAATCCCTGCTCCCTCCAACCCCCCCATCCCCACCCATAACCCTAAAGCCACCCCCACCCAGGAACGAACTACATCCTAGACTCCTAGACCTAGACCGCAGGCAAAGAACCTCCACGGCCCGGAGGGAGTGTCGTTCAGAGCTCGTCCTTAGCGCCGCCAGGACGCACCTCGGTAGCTCCGGTGTGCACAAAGTGTTGGTTGGGGGGTGCTCAGACAGATTGAATGCCATATTTTATTGGTCTGTGTGGTGGCTTGCTTACTGTTCTTCAGCTTCTGTGGCAGGAAAGTGTTTGTAATTCCCACATCGCCCTCCAAAAGCCTCCAAGCTTGCCAGGACACCATGCTATACACCTAGCCGCTAGACCTAGCCTCAACCCTTTAAATCCTTGTAGTGCCGTTTCTAGGCACACCTTGACGAACCCTTACAGAAACCTCCTCACGCAAAGCAGGGACAGGGCACCGGAACAGCTCCGCCGCCTCGGCGAAGCGCTGTGCTTCGCAGAGCGCCTCTCCCGTGATGTTTCCCATGCTTGAAAGGCTTGGTCTTGCGGCGCACGCAGTCGGAGGAACCGGGCGAGGCATGTGTCGGGCGGGTAGGTTCAAGGTTCAGAGAAACCCTTGCAACGATGGGGCTTGAGGGTTAAGATGGGGTCCCTAACGGGGTCTTCGAGGTTTACCGAAGAAGCACATACTTTTCGCAGTCGTAGAACTCGGGCTGACTTTGGGCGTTCAGAGAGCTCCAAAATTGGTACCGCAGCCTTGACTACCTGATATGCGCAACCGTCGACATTCAGAACACCACACGAGAACACGAAGTGCAAGCTGCCTCTGCCCGCGCAAACACATCTGCAGCGCTCTCACCACCACCAAGGTACCTTAGAGTGCAAACTGCATGGCCCCAAAGATGTGCCTGTGCCTATGTCTGTGTTGCATACTTGCAGCATGTTATATATATATATATATATACACACATAATCTCTCTCATACATATATATATATATATATATATATTCTCATACATATATATATATATATATATATGTATATGTATATACACATACATAGATACACCCGTTCAGGATAAGATGTCTTGTGCATGCCGCTGACCGCCCTTGCTCATGACATGCTGGCTGGTGTCTAGTCGGCATTTCTGGCAACGAACATCTGAAAACTCCTGAGCTTCAAGTCCGAAAGTGCGTGCATACTCCATGTTACCCTCCACCCCATTACGATTCTAAGCTTACGCTTTGAGATGTATGACGAGCAACTTTGATGAATAAACGGCCTTGGGAGTTTCTGGATTTCTCTTTGCAGCCAGGCAGCCGCATTGCCCTTGTCCGGCTGTCCTTGTCATTTTCCTTCTCCTCGCCATGCGCCCGTCCGCCAACCCCAGCGGCACGAGCGTTCTGCCGCGCTTGCCTAGGACACTCTCGCAAGACCGAGCCCTGTGGCACGGGGGGTAACATCTTTGACCTGAGAATCTTGAAACCGTTTTTGAGGACTCGGCTACAAGCCGGTTACACCCTCCCAATGTGTCTACGTCACGACCTGGACCTGTACGCCCGTGTAAGCTAGAAGTGGAGGCCCTGCATCCCGAATCGCTGAAGCCCAAATGACCCCAAGAAATCGGGCGACTAGAAAATTCAACAGCCGGGCCACTGCAAAGCACTTCGAGGCGATGTTTTCTGGCTGCCCTTGGCCCTCGGTTGGCTTTACTTGCTGCATCCCGCAAGCACTAATAATGAAAGTGCCTGCACGACACTAAACGACATCTTAAGCCGGCTGTCTCAACGGAAAGTGCGCCTAGGAACCCTGGAATTCGAAGCACCGTGCTTTCTTGAACTCGAACCCTCGTCCCGGCACTCTCCCGCGGCAAAGACATCAAGTGCGCCAAGGGTCGGCTCGGTGCTGCTCCCACCTTGTGGCAGACTCTGAGCTGCGAATCTTTGAGAGACTAACATGTTTGGGGTTTGGCGTTCAGGTTCAGCTCAGCCGGAAGCTATGATCCCCATTCGGGTTCTACCAGGGATCTTGTCCTTGCGAAGCCCAGCGGCCTGCTGCTCCCGATGCCGGCGCCTCGCAGAAGGAGGGAAAGGAGTATCTTATCAACACACAGGCATTGAAGCATGCGATCCGACAATGTCACTGGCTTCGAAAGGATCAGAGCCGGGTGTGGTATTGCGGTCGTACATGGGATTTAGGCTTCGGTCTCGTAGTTGTGCCTGCAATCTCTTGTATGCCTCACAGCCCCGTGCACCTCGCTGTCCCTTGGCGTCGGTGGCTTGTCGCCCTCCACGGGCCGAAATTGGGCGGTCCTGAAAAAAACGAAAACCGCATTTCCCGTGATGTTGGCATGAGATTGGGGAGATGTCTCCGTTGCAAGAGCCAGTCCAGCGTGCATTCGGCGGATCTGGGCTGGAGTTTTCCGGACCTCGGTTTCAAACATGCCGAGCGGGCAGGTCTGACAATTTCCTGTTTCGACTGCGGTCCAGAATTGTAGTTGAGCCCTGTGATGCAACAGAGCATCAATGAAAGTTAGGACCACAACCTTTCAGATTCAAGCCATCAACGAATCCCTTCCAAAGGCCGGAGCTGGGAGGATATGCACCCCGGCGCGGTCGGCTGCCGCTGCCGCTGCTGCTGTCACCTGCAGAGGCAGATTGCAATGTCGAATCGTCGGGCGTCCACGCAAAAAAGCACGCAAAACGCAAAACTTGTCCAGACAAGGACAATGCCTGTAGCAAGGCCGGGCAAGGTGAAAGTTACGAATTGCATTTTGGCATGTTGTGAGGGAGTTGGGCGGCATTGGAAGTCCTTCCAACCAGCTATTGAAGAAAAAATCATTTTGCAGCCCAGCGACTGTTGTACAAGCAGCTGCTGGGGACGCCCCCTTAGCCACTCGCACATGTGATTGCACTGCGAGGCCCCCATGCCTCTTGGAAGTAAACATGTGCCCCAACTCATGCGTGCCTGTCAATCGTTTGTCTTCAGGACTGGTCACGGCGGATTTCCAACTTTCTCGGTTGGCCGCCACGAGAAATTCTTGTCGGATGGTGCTTTCGTGACGTGTGTCTGAAGAGATGTCAGCATCAACCGAGGACGACATCTCGCCATACCTCCCCAGGAAGCTCTGTAGTGGAAGCCATCCGAAAGCTCCAGCCCTCCGCAATAGCCTTCTTGTCACTGAGGGCGTGATACACCACAGAAGCTGTGGAAACGTTTGCCGCCTGGGCTGCATCCGAGATCGAGGAAAACAGAACCCAAGAAGACTCACCGCTACGGCACCCGAAGACGGGCTTGTCCTCGTCGCTGCGTCCAGGCTTGCCTTCGTCTCGTCTTCGAGAAAGAGCATGTAGCACGTTTTCCGAAGGCGTCACGTACTCCAAGTTGCTGCAGCTGTTATTGCTGCGATTACCATCTATGTGGTTGACTTGCAAACACATAGATGATGGAGGTCCCAAGAATGTTGCTGCAATCAGGCGGTGAACCGAAAACCAACCAGCCTTCCCGTTAGTCACATAATATCCGCTTCGATGCAGCGTCCCAAAGGAAGTCCGGCCTGACTTAAATATCCTTCCCAGTGTGCTTACCATCGTGGCTTTGATAGTCTCGCCGGTCTTGGGATGAATAGCCTGCTTCCACTGCTCGGCGCTGCAGCCTGGAACCATGCTATCCACATCTTCATTAGGACTTTTAATTGCGAACTTGAACTCAAATCCGACCGAACGCCCAGTACCTCTCGTAAGGCATTTCGAGATAGCAGACTGAGGTACACCAAGCTCTCGCTCCACCCGTCGCATTGAATCGCACCTATTCCACAGAGTGTCGCCAACACGTCGCCAGAGCACGGGCTTCGAGAAGGACCTCCGACCAAGAGCGTACGAATGGGATACGTTCTCCGCCGGTGTTACATACTGCAAATTGTGCACCGCGTTGTTTGATCGGCTTCCATCTATGTGGTTGACCTGCACATGACCCGGAGTTGGTGGCATGCCGAGAAAAGATTGGGCGACCAATCGATGCACCAACCAAACTCTGCCCCCGATCTTGACACGACGATACCCGTCCGTGCGAAGGGACCCCAAACTGACTACACCCCGTGTGTCGCAGAGCCGGCCACATGAACTGACTTGCCAGCATCGCACGCTGCCTGTGTGGTACAAGCGGATGCTGTCGAAGTGGGGAAAAGCGGCGAGTAATACGCGCACGGTATGGAGAGGCTCATGGTAATCATGGCAGCTGAGCAAAGTCACACCGACACCTCGCAAACCTCTTCTCATGGTCTGCAGAAGCCCCTCTTCAAGGCTTGAGCAAAGTGCCATGACAGGACGCCACTTCGCGGCCCCCTACAGTGTAAAGCCAAATCGGGTTGTCAACATCTGAATAAAGGGAAAGGCGATGGGCTCGCAGGCAAGCCACGCTCGCCGGGCTCGGCTTTGAGAGAGAGTGCTTCCAGTGCCTTAGTTGACCGTCGGAGTTGCTGGTGAACCCTGCAAGACGAAAGGCAATGGTTGCACCAACTCTCTGCACGCGCTTTGAAACTCCACCGCGGCACAGGAATGGCAGCTGCGCCCTTTCGCCCGTCGGCTGCAGGTGCCGTGCCGCTGCCTTTTTCGCTGCCCCGCCCCTGCCTCAGTGGTGCATCAAGACCAAGAAATGGAGGCAAAGCTAACTAGTTTAGATTCTACTGGCTCATGGGAATCTGACAATGTCGACCACAACTATCTGGTGCTGGTGCTGGTGCTGGTGCTGGTGCTGGTGCTGGTGGGGGGCTGCTGCTGCTGCTGTCTGAGCCCCGTTCAGGCAGGCATCTCCCGTTCGTTCGGAGGCACACACACAGTATCAGGGAACCAGAAAACCGAACAAGAAAGATAGACTATGAAAATATGTGAGCCACACTCCCTGACTACTCGAATCGAACGTGCCACCGGCAATGTAAAGTCAAACAAGCTGCTGTTTCGCGGACCTTGCATCTACTGGAAAATCCGACCGATACAATAACCTTTGCGCGCAAGAAGTCTAGACCGCGGCAAACTGCCCACAAAGTAACAAGGAAAATCCGACAATGAGGGCACCGTTCTACTGCAGGCAGGGTAGCGGCAGGGTTTTAGATCCCATTAGGTAAAGCATGAACTCGGAATTCTTTGATCAAGCTGCCCCCTTGGGCTGCGCTGCCGGCACTGGGAGGTCGCCGGGTGCTTTCCCGGCTCGGCCGAGCGCGGCGAGGGCTTCGGCGAGCGGGGCGAGGCGGAGGCCTCCGAGAAGGCCGCCAGGAAGGGTTGAGGCTTTATACGGCTTTGGGTTTGTAGGGTTTGGGGCTTAGGGTTTTAGAGGGTTTGGGGGTTTAGGGTTTTAGGTTTATAGGGGTTTATATAGGATTTGGGGTTTACAGGGTTTATAGGGGTTTAGGGTTTATAGGGTTTATAGGGTTTAGGGTTATAGGGTTTGGGGTTTATAGGGGTTTATAGGGTTTGGCGTTTATAGGGTTTAGGGTTTACAGGGGTTTGGGTGTACAGGGTTTAGGGTTTAGAGGGTTTTGGGTTTATAGGGTTTAGGGGTTATAGGGTTCAGGGTTTATAGGTTCTCTTGGGTTTATATTGCTTTGTGTTTATAGGGTTTATTTAGGGCCAGAGGGTTTGGGGTTTAGGGGGCTTTAAGGTTTATAGGGCTTAGGGTTTATAGGGTTTGAGGTTCATAGGGTTTTATAGGGGTTTGGGGGTTTGGGGTTTATTGGGTTTGGGGTTTATAGGGTTTAGGGGTTCAGGGTTTACAGGGTTTAGGGTTTATTGGGGTTTAAAGGGTTTTGGGTTTATAGGGCTTCGGGTTTACAGGGTTTGGGGTGTATGGGGTTTAGGGCTTGTAGGGATTAGGGTTTAAAGGGTTTAAGGTATACACCCTAGGCCCTGAACTAAGTGTTTGTAAAGCCTACTTTTTGTGTATGACCATGAGTGTTTGTAAGTGGGGTTGCAGGTATCTTCGTTGAGGATATAAGCTACAAGCAGATAGGTTCATATAGCTATATAGCAAAAATTGAAAAACCCTACTTGCAGAAGTTGACAAGGTTTTGGGGTACCAGCATGCTCGTCCTCAGAGACCCCAACTGTGGAACGATGACGGTAGAACCGGTTGCTGTTATGTGCCTAGTGGCCTACATCCACAAGTGGTTGATCATCTCCCGTACACAGGAAGTAACGCGGAATTCGTGCGCCTTTCTTCGGAAACCTTACAAAGACCTCGCAGGCTCCTTCAAAGCTAAAGGATCCTAAAGCCAAACCCACAAGCCTCCCCTCACTGAGCCGCAGGCCAGACTGAATAAACACGACAGCCAGACTCCAAAACCAACCCCAACACCTGATCACCTGATCCAAAGAGCAGAGCCCCTATGCTGGCCTTGTGCGGCGAAGCTGATGCCTGAGAAGCAGCGGCAGAGCTCTCTGAGGCCACGGAGCTGTCCTTGGTGGCTTCTCCCGAATGCCCACCCCAATTCCTGCCAAAGACAGCTTGCTTAGCTTTGAATCCCATAAATCTTCTGGTACGGGAGGTCATGCAGGATTTGTCATTTCAACGGTATTGGCACTCGGACCAGATTTTCAGAAAGGCATTCGGGCTGCCCAACACTGCCAAACCATCTGTGTGTATCACCCAAGTCTCGGGGGTGCTGGAGCTGCGCACTTTTGGAACACCCAATGTTCTCTTCTCGTCCATGATCCTCCGGATTGCTGAAGCTCCACGGCTTGATGTTTTGGTTCAGCACTCTCTCGCAAAGCCTGGGTTTGTACATTGAAAAATCTTAGGATGCTTGCTTCGATGAACTGCGACAGCAGCAGAAAAGCGAGTCCGTCCTCTGGGAAAGCTCCTTCTTTGCTGCCGGCATCGACTGCTTGGACCCAGTTCGCATGGACCCCTGTCCAAAGCACCCCATCACAAAGAGCAACAGGGAGAATTTTTAGAAGAGTCCTATCCAGGTTTCAGGGCTGACCTCCCCGCTGCGATTCGGCCGTCGCAGACTGTTTGCCGTGCATGCAGTTCTGACGTGTATGTAGGTTCTGTACATGTGCGTGCCCTCGCATCTTGCACAACGACGAAGTGCGGACAAACCGGCAAAACAACACGGAAGGGTACTCCGCAGAGCAGAACAAACAGGCATCTGAATTCTGCTTGTTGACAGCTGCACGGATAGATTGGCGCATAGTGCACACGCACACATGCTCTCATCACATCCGCCACCATCCGTCCATCCGTCTGTCCGCCCGCCCGTTTGTCCAATCCACCCGCCCATGCATGCATGCATGCATCCATCAGTCACTCATCATTTACATGCACACATTGAAACATACATACATACATACATACATACATACATACATACATACATACGTATGTACGTACATACATACATACCTCATACATACATACATACATACATACATACATACATACATAAATACGGGCGTACATACGTACATACATACATACATACATACATACATACATACCTACCTACATACATGCATACATACATCCATATACATCCATACACATCCATACATCCATGCATGAATACATGCATACAGCATGCATACATGCAGACACACACATACATACATACATACATACATACATACGTACATACATACATACATACATACATACATACATACATACATACATACATACATACACACATACCTTCGCACATCTATGCGGCTTATGCAGATGCACAGGGACCATACCTACTCAATGCCCGGACACCTCATCCACTGACAATTCTTCGGCATGTGTCATTTGTCAAAATGGCCGTTCAGCGTGGTTCCTACCGTACATACTGTTACAATCGCAATGCCACAATGCACCATTAAAGCCGCCAGCGCAACTTCTCTTCAGCCCACCTCGGCTTTCGTCAAGCGCATCTCGATGGCTTTTAGCCGTGCCTGACACAGCGGGAAAGAAACACAAACAAACACCGTGGAACATGCCAGCAACAAGCACATCCCTGTTGTGCATAATTGCCCGTCGTTGCGTGGGTGGCTTTGGAAACACGCTAGGAAATCTTGGGCCTAGAACCCGCTGGCATTAACATCTTGCTCTGGCTCATGCCTCACGTGAGTATATCCGGCTCTGCGGAGACCCCGGAGAAGATCGAAATCTCAAACCGCCGGAGCCCTAAACCTGCCCCTTCGGCTTGCCTCGCCCTTGGGCTTGTCCTCCAGCTTGGCGCCTGCTTTCGACGATGGGATGGAAATGCAGCAAATTTCTAACAACTCAAAACGATCCTTGTGACTAAGGGAGGCATTTGGCAGATAATATCTGATTGCATGGCTTGTTAGAAAGAAGCTCCGAACTTCAGAGACGCAACTACGCATGAACCCCAAAAAGGGTCTGCTTTCAACTAAGCCACAAGTCTAACAGATGGGTCGATCTCAATCCGAAATCCTACTGTAGCCCCCCAAAACCTGCTATTCTATCGGCTAACCCCACACAACGCCATAAGCGCCTAAAGCCTTAAAAACACTCAGCCCTAAAGCGCCGAAACCTCCAAGCAATAAACCCGCCTTCGGCTGCCGCCAAAGCCGCGGCGGCCTCATGAAAAGCTGAGGGTTGAACAAAGATGGGGCCCTGAAGGGGTCGTCTAGTTCTTATAGGGGTCTGGAACGGTTTCTATAAGGTTGTATTAGTACCGAGGCTGCAAAAATGCAAAAATAGGGTTTGGGTGATTTCGTGTTATTCATATGCAATAATTGTGATGGGAACCCTGCATGGGAAATTGAATTACTCAATTCTCCTGCTTTTGTATACTAGAGGAGTCAACTTGCATCGGCTTCTTGGGTGTCGTGGGAAGCTTAATGGGCTTTGTCACGGCATCTTTTGGGCGGGCTTAATCGGGATCTTACTGTCTTACTCTGCTAGAACAGTTTCGTGTAGGACTGCTGGGGAGCTTAAGAGTAGGCGGTCGATTTAGGATCCCATTTGTTGGAGCCTCGGTGGTTTGCATTTGCTTGCAGCTGCATTGCGGCTGTCGGGCCGGGGAGGACCACGCCTTGTTTGGCCTGTCTTCGGATACTTGCTTTATTTCAATGTCGGAGCATCCGGGAACGAGAGCCCGGATTATTGCCTATGAAGCTTGAAAGATACTTCGCCCAAGTAATCATCAGACCACCGTCAACATCAAAGTACCAAGTCAAACCCCCGAATGTTGCTCACTGCGAGGCTCTTATGGAGCGTGGTGGGTGCGGTGATGCCAGAAGGACGGGGAGGAAAGCGACTGAGAAAGACCCCAGCCAGCCTCTTCATCGCGGCCTGGCCGGTACGAGGTCGCGTTCAACCAATAGGCCGGTGGATTCATTTTGTACGGAGCCCCCAATCCAGAGCACCGGAAACAACTATAGCAACTAGACATACCCACACCTGACATCCTGCACGGCCTCATGCTGTAGATGCTTGTCATTTCTGGATTGCTTCCGGCCTCGGCTGAAGGCCTCCAAACACATGTTCAGCTGCCGCCGCGCCACGTTGACGCTGCGACCGCCAGCCTGCTACCCGACCGCTCACGAAACCAAGACAGCATGACACAGTTCATGATTCCAAACCTCACTACCAGGTCCTGTGATTATATAGCTCAACAGCTCCACGCAAGATTCTGACATCAGTCTTTTGCCGCTCACCATAAACCTTCCATCCCCCACCCCATTACTAAAGATCAGCTTCAAACTCCAAACTCAGCACCCGAAATCACCCGAAGGTCTCAAGTGCTCGACGTTCCTCGTCCGCTGAGGCCGGTGGCTCCAGAACGGCCCTGAGTACAGTTTAAGGTCTTGGGCGTGTCAACATAGATACATCGACTGTTGTATATGTATATATCTATGTGTATATATATATATATATAATGTATATATATATATATATATAGATATATGTGTCTTTATTCCTTTATTGTTCATTTATTTTGTTATTATGTATATGTGCTTACATGTAGCTACTTATCTATTGGTTTATTTAAGCATATCATAGCATACATACTGTATACATGTACGTATATATTCTTCTCGGTTTCACAAACAAGCAGCCGAGGCCTGGAAATCTCCGTTTTGAGGGCTGAGGCTCTGAGGATAGAAAGCTGGAGTTGTAACTTGGCATGCTCGCCACGCAGTTGGAGATGGATTCCAAGATGGGAACCTAACTAGTCAGTAACTAGTCCCAGGACGTTGGGTAAGCGCTGGGGCTATGTTTGGAAGTTCCTTGGCAGCTGACTGCTTACAAATGGCGAGATGACTGCATTCAGGGCGACATTCGTTTTTGTGCACCAAGCCAAAGACATCGAATGAGAAGGCTACACTCCTGAGTCCGAGGGTCTGAACCGCCGGCAGCGGGAGCTGTGTCTGCTCGACATGGCGCTGACGTAGCCTCGCGTTCTCCTCTTCGCTAGCGGAATCGAGTCGGGCCTGTGGGTCGAGGGGCGAGTAGGGTTAGCAGAGTTTAGTTGGGAGAGTTGTCGGGCTGGTAAAGTTCCTTGGTTTCGGCGCCAGGCTTGCAGCGTCTGCGGCTTAACCCTGGCAGGATACAGTATCAGATCGGGTCTCGGTACTGAGACTGACAATCAAGCATCTGCCAACTCTAAGCCCTAAACTCATAAACAATCATGAATCATCAACTAGTTCTTCGAAACATAAATGGGACCACAAACACGACCAATCCCTTAAAAAAATGAATGCCACCCCAAACAGGAGTCTCCTGGAGCATCGAGGCAGCGAAGCTGGAGAGCTTCCGGATCGTGGCGGAGCACCACTCCGAGTGCTGCCTCGCAGGGAAGCGACGGCTTCAAATGAAGACTGTGTAAAGCTACCTTAAGAACCCAAAACCTACTTTTTTGTAGGGTCACTATAAATCCCATATTAGGGTTTATAATAAGAACCTACAAAAAAGTGGGTTTTGGGTTCTGAAGGTAATGTAGGGGGCTTCACTCGTTTCGTGTTGGTGCATGTACTAAAGCTAATGTAGGGGGCTTCACTGGTTTGGCTTTGGTGCATGTACAAACCTAGTTGCATGGAAGTTTCAGAAACATGTGAATCAGGCACGAACCATGGAAGCTCTCGCAGCAAGGATCGTGTCGGCTTTCAGCCGACCTCCGAGACCCGTAATCAAACCCAAAGCCTGGTAACATGGCCCCAAGAGCTATCCAGTTTTTATTCGGCCTTCCAGCTTCCCCGCTCTAGAACCCTTACGGTGCCGATATAGAACTCTCAAGACTATCCGCATAAAACCCGATACGTAGATCCTGAAATAGGACCCGATCGCTTGATTGCCTGATCTCCGCGTCCAGGCTGGCCGGCGGGTGAACACGATCCGGCATCCTCGGCACAACTAAATGTCGGGCTTTCTTCGAATTCGGGACCTTGTAGTCTTTTGACAGCCTACGCAAGAAAGATACGACAAGGTGGATCTGTGTGCATCGTGCCTTGTTGGCCAGACCACAGACTGCAAGCCCGAAACTCAGGACCCATGCAGCCCAGCGGCAGAGACTCTACCTCGTCCTCTCTGCAAGCGGGTGTAGGGCTAGATGGGTTTAGGATTTAGAGTTCCGGGTCTAGCGCAGCTTAGGGTGTATGATTCCGGTTTCTGACCGGCAAGGAGCGCGACAGTCAGCAGACCCTTCGCAGCAGACTCAGTACTGTGCCTCCGAGCATTGTGAAACAGACGAGTGGGGTCCGCCTTGGGCTCGCGTGACGGGAAAGCTTGCCAGGCCCGCTACAACACGCTGTAGAGAGGCTACACTCACCATCTCCTCCCTGAAGAAATCAGGCAGCAGGAGTCTCCTGGAAGGATTTCGGCAGATCCTTCAGACTCTGCCGGCAGGTCTGCTCCCAGTCGCCGAAGCCCGCAACGGTCTGCTCCAGGGGTCGCAGGCAGCCGGAAAGGTTGGCCACCTCGTGGGGGTTGGCTTGGGGGGGCCTCTTAGGGAGACTTATCTGCCTACTTAAAGGATCATGGGACTTAGTAAGTAGGGTTATAACTAACGTAACTATACTTATAACCCCAATTAGGGGACTTATAACCTTACTTACTAAGTCCCATGATCCTCCAAGTAGTAGCATCCCCTGAACCCTAAACCCCACTAAGGCCCATTGCTTGGCTTGGTAAGTTCGGGGTTTCGGGTTGGGTTTGGAGGCAGGCGGCTGGACTTAAGGAACACCCTAGGCAAGTCTTTCGGTCCTCTGACGATTCGGTTCCGTTAAGAGCTCCCTGGAACGAGTTCTATAGAATATGGGCTCTATAATGCGGGTTGAGGGTGTTTAATGTATAGTATGCTGGTTGGCATGAGAAACAGGCTGCTGTCTGCATGCCGGGGATTTTCGCTCACACACTCGCGTTGCAGCTGATGCCTCTGTTTTGAAATGCGAGATATGCGGTAGCCGTTCCGCGTTTCTCTTCTGTTTGTATCTGTCCTCCCGGCGGATGAGTTAAGTCAAACAGGCGTTAACCTAAACCCAAAACCGTAAAAACCTTTTTTGAACGAGGTCTCTCTGAAGTGCCTCCAAGCTGCCCGCCACAGCGATGACTCGTGCATCCACAGGCAAGAAACGCGTGAGCTTACTTACGAGAGCCCAGCAAAACACCGTAAAAACCCTGAACCCTAAACCACCTAAACCACCTAAACCCGAAGAATCCTAAACCACCTAAACCCCCTAAGCCCCCCAAAAACCCTAAAAACCACCTAAACCCGAAAAATCTTAGAACACCTAAGCCCCAAAAAATCCTAAAACCCACCGAGACCCGCTTCCTGGAGCCGCCTCCGCCCTCAGCGCGCCGGCGGCGTCGGCCTCGGCGCTGTGGCGGATGTTCCGGGATTGCTCGGCTGCGAGCTCCTGGCGGCAAAGGAGGGGAGGGGCGGGGCTTACCTTTAAAGGGGATCAAGGGTTCAAGGGGGTTTAGGGTTAGGGGTTTAAAGGGGGTTTAAGGGTTGGTTTAAGGGGGTTTAAGGGGTTTAAAAGGGGTTTAAGGGGTTTAAGGGAGTTTAAGGGTGGTTTAAAGGGTGGTTTAAGGGGGTTTAAGGGGGTTTAAGGAGTTGGGCTCTCGCGACTCGGACTCTGCAGGCGAGGCTGGTTCGGTTCCACTGAGCACAGTGGCTACAGTTCACTGTCGGCAATGGCACATGAGCCCTCCACCAACTTGGAGGATCATGGGACTTAGTAAGTAAGGTTATAAGTACCCTAACTGGTGTTATAATTATAGTTACCTTATTTATAACCCTAGTTACTAAGTCCCATGATCCTCCAAGCAAGATGTCGTCAACGTGCTGCACGCAAGGGTTTAGGCCTTAATTGTCAGGCACCGACATCTGTCTATACAGTTCAACAAATGTAGATACATATGCGGATACGCATGCACGTTCTTAAGTTGAAGATGTATATATATATATATATATATATATGTATATATATACACACATACGGACACATATTTACACTTCGTGACGCTCGTCCCATGCTTGGGAAGTCCTCGTGCAGGAATGCGGTCTGCTTCCTCTGCCTGGTCGCTCAAACGAAACCCTGAACTCCAGCAAGTACCTCAAAACACATAAACACCTCGGGGCAACCCGGGGCGGGGCGCCGCACAATCCTGTAGGTCCCCCGGAAATGCCTCGAAGGCAGACCCTAAACCCTTTTTGCATCAGGACTTGAGCAATCGCCTGAACCCTGAACCCCGGAACCCTAAACCCGAAACCCCTAAACCGAGCCCCCTGGACTCAAGGTGTCGCGCCGCGCCTCTCCACCTCCCCGAGCTCGTGCTGGTAGGCGTTTTGGAGGCTCCAGAAGGCCCTCAGAGCTTCGTCTTGCTCTTTCCTCGGCTTGCTTGGAGGATCATGGGACTGAGTAAGTCAGGTTATAAGTACCCTAATTGGTGTTATAATTATAGTTACCTTATTTATAACCCTAGTGACTAAGTCCCATGATCCTCCAAGTGGGCTTCAGGTTTATGGGAGTTCGGCGTCCCTGCTTAGGCGGTTTGGGGTGCATGTTTGGGGGTCTCGGGTTCAGTCTTTCTGCGTTTAGGGTTTTATTTCTCTGTTCGAGTTTAGGGTGGCGATGTTGGTGTCCCCTGCCGTGTCCTGTGGTTTAGAGTGAAACTTTTGTTCAAAGACTCAGCGCTTTAGCTGCTTAGTATTCAGTTGTTAGGATTTCGGGCCGGCAAGGCAGGCTGCCAAATCCTTGCCCCTAACACCTTCAAGGTACCAAGAAGACTAATCACTGCCCCAGGGACACGGCGTGCCGCGCCTTTCCAAGCTCGGCTTCCGCCTGCACCAACTCTGCCTTCAGAGCCTCGCTTGCAGGATGTAGGGCCTAGGGTTTAGGGTTTAGGCTTTAGGGGGGTCTCATCATGGTGTAGGGTTGAAGCTTCCTTTAAAAAAAGGGTTCCGGGTTTGAGATTCAGGGTGCTGAGTTTTCGTCTGTCATTAGCTTAAGTTGGAGGTTTGGGGCCTGCTTCTCCAATTTTTGACACTCACACTCGGACTTCTCCTGTTTGGTACACGATCCTTGTCTGATGGCAACTTAAGCAGTGGCTTAGGGTTCTACCGGGCCCATGCGCAACCAAGGTCTTGCAAGCATGTAGTGCATAGGGGGTGCACTCTTTTGCAGCCGTTACAAGAGTTCCAACTTGCCAAACCCAAGCCATGGTTGAAGTCCTCACCTCCTCGCGGGAGGGTGCTTGCACGAGCTGCTCCTTGCCAGGGCCACGTTGCTTACTTGACACTTAAGTTGTCGTCATAAGTAGGGCCAAACGCACCCTGACTGACTCGGGATAGATGCATTTCTACATATGTCAAGTTATACTCCAGTCATCATGAGCCGCTGCTTTTCAAACATGCACAACATGTGGTCCACGAGGCTTCTGAACTTAGACTTTGAAGAATCACAAACCGCTACAGAACCATGCGCAACATGCGGAAGGTTATTTAGGGGTTATGGGACAAAAGACCTGTTTTTGAGAGCTTGCTGTTCGTTCGAAACCCCGCAAGCAAGGCTACTCAGACACGAAAGCCCTGAACCCAGAGCTCTCATATATAGTTCTCATATCAAACTCGAGCCGTGGGCCGTAATTAAGGCTTTAACCCTATACCTGAGAGCTCCAAAAAATCAACACAGATTAGGTCTAGGATTGGTTCATGTCTGATATGGGAAATTCAGGGTTCAATCTCAATCCTAACCCCTAAACCCTAAACCCTTTAAAACTTGAGCCCGAGTCCCCAAAGTGACAGCTCCGAGCTGGTGGCCTGTGCCAGGGCGAGCTCGGAGAGGGCCTGCCGCTTTTCCAGGCGCTGCGCCTGGTGCATTGATTTAGTTTAGGGTTTCAGGGTTTAGGGGTTTAGGGGTTTAGGGTTTTGGGTTTTGGGTTTAGGGGTTTAGGGTTTAGGGTTCCCTGAACCCTATACTCTAAACCCGACCTGAAAACCAACTGAAGATAGGGATGTTCAGATTGAGAGAAGGAAGGGTTGTTCATCATAAGGCTCGACATCATCAGGGACTCCGGGTGCTCATGGGGGCCTTAGCCTAAGGCTTCTGGGATATTCTCGGGCACTCTCGAGCAAAACTGGCTGAAGAGGATCCCTGAAGAAGGGACCTGCTAAAGGGATCTCTTCATCACGCGGTATGTATTAGAGTCTCTACAGCCAGGTTGGGGAGAACTTTGCTTCGGTTTTGAGCACAGAAGCTGTAATGCAGGGGCCTAAGTAATTACAAATACTATTTTGGAGGCTCCTTATTTGAACTAAAGTATTATGGGCCGCAAAACCCTATTCTAGTTGTTAAGGCCCCTACAGTATCCCTGTGTTTAAGACAAGCAGAACCTGCCTCGAGCTCGTCAGCACACGTCACCCGGAGTTCGGCCAGAGTCTCATTGAGCTCCAGCACCTCGCCCATGTGGGAGATTCCGAAAATGAGGGGTACCTTATTTTGGGGTCCTGATAATAAGGATCCTACTATTTAGGGTACTATATTAGGGTCCCCTATTTCCGGAAACCCCCATGTGCATGGCGTGGGGCTGGGTAGACTGGGACCAGGGTCTGGGTTTCAAGCAGGTTAAAGCTTCGAGCCCGCTTGCTCGTTGATAAGGACTCGGCACACACATATGCTCGACTGGATGCAACGCGACACTTTGAGAATGTAGCCCTGCGTCGGAGAAAGGCTTCGTGCAATGCACCTGAAAACGGACATATTGGCATTTCATTCCCTCTCGGTGCCTCGGCATGAAGTGCCTCGTTGGCTTGAGAGCGCTTGCGCTCGCGCTCCTGTGGACCATCTTGCGCTTACATGGGGTCTGAATGAAGCGATTTGGGCGGTTTCCCGTCGCCCTGGCATCTGTACAGTCAGGCCCGTGGCGTAGGGGGGTTGAAGTTCTGCATGCGCACGGCCCGCTTCGGCCTTTGTATGTTCTGTGCCTTGAACTACAGATGAAAGAGGGTTTGTGAGCATGGGTGTCTTTATAGATGCATGTGCATACACATACGCCTAGAGAAACCTGTCGATACTTGAGGAACGACCGACAAGGCCTCGGCTTCGGCCATTACAGTCTCAGGTCCTGCACTTCTTCTGAATGGTGCTAGGGCTGCTCTGAAACCTTCGAAGATATCTGTGTATCGAATCCCACCTTATCGAACAGAGGTCCTCTGCCAGAAGATTCTGTCGACTCTGACTCCTGGCAACTGGGCCACAGTTCAGGGTCCAGTCAAGCCTTGTTATCACTTCGCGGGCCACTTATCTCAACAATCGCAAACATCACATCGAAGGCGTACTTCCTCAGCCTCTCTCTCGCCCCTCTCCCTACGTATATGTAAACAAACACGAAATACATAATTATATTTATACATATATATATATATATATATGTGTGTGTGTGTGTGTGGGTAAATGTGCGTACTACTGTATGTATGCATGCATAGACGTTTAAGAGTACCCTGATACCCATATACCATACACCGTGAACTCTGCCCTCTCCCTCGCCCCTACAGCCTGGTGGGGTGGCGATCCAGCGTCGCAAGGCTCGGCGAGGAGGGGCAGGGCGAGAAGGACTTGAGGTCCTCGTTGATGCGCATTTTGGGGTTTACAGGGTTTAGGGTTTAGGGCTTATAGGGTTTAGGGTTTGGGCAACTCAAGCCATCCCACGAAACAGAGAGGGTGTCGAGACGAGTTTTGGTACCAGTAAGACCGTCCATGAAAACTAGGGACTACAGTACGAAATCTTAAGTCTTGCCATGATAAGGCAGCAAAAGAAAGACTATGGCAAGCCCAGCAGTACATCCTTCCAGTCAGCATGCAAGATGCCCCATGAATCCTTAACCCAAAAAATCTGTTCCTCCTGAAACACGGCAAACACGCTTTTTGCTCAGGTCCTCGATCTCCCGCAAGACTCGCTCCTGACAAGCTGAAGAAGCCAGTTGAACAACCAGCAAAACCTGGACTTAGGTTTTAGGGTTCGGGTACCGCCAAGGACTGAAAGACTATGCAAGTAGCAGGCATTGCAATTCCTCTTTGCAAACTGCTGGAAACTTTTGGGACATGGCAGGCGACTTGGATCGCCTGGCCTCCAGCTGACTGCGGTGGAGTCGCTCTTCCTGCGCACAATCTTCTAGTTTCCCGGAAGAAGCGACACATCAGTGGTTCTAGAAAGAAGAGAAAGAGAGACAGAGAGAGAGAGAGAGACCAGAGAAGAGAGAGAGAGAGAGCGCGAGGGAGAGCAAACAGTCCGGCTTAGCATAGTCATAGGGCCTTAACAAGGCTACCATAACGCAGGAGCGTTGCCGCGAAACTCCCGTTCCTAAAATCCCGTGCCGAAGCCTCATGGCTGCCAGCTCCCTCCCCAACACGACCCAGCCTCCCCACCCCGCCGGAGCTCTTCCAAAGCAGCCTTCACCTGCTTAGAGTCACTCTGGGTGTTGAGCTTTCGGGTTTTTCAGGGCTTTCGGTTTTCTCATTATTCCTTGGAGGATCAGAGGAATTCATCCCCTACTAGCACAAATTCTAACGTATCTTGTGATAGAACTTTTGGAGCTGTCACCCTCCACCCAATTTTTGCACAGGCTGGATTGGAGCTCCCAAGGTCCCTCACCCTCAACCCTAAACCCTAAACCCCACAAATACTAACGTATCTTGTGATAGAACTATTGGAGCTGTCACCCTCAGCCCTAAACCCTAAACCCTAAACCCTAAACCCTCAACCCTAAACCCTAAACCCCACAAATACTAACGTATCTTGTGGTAGAACTATTGGAGCTGTCACCCTCAACCCTTTTTGCAACTGCCCTAAACCCTAACCTCTAAACCCTAGACCCTCAACCCTAAACCCTAAACCCTTTTTGGGGGCTTTCTGGGCCTGCTCCAGGTCGTCCACCGTGGCGCCGTCGGAGCGCCGCGTGCGCAGCGCCTCCTCCAAGACCGGCCCAGAGCCCCAGGCTTCGGGGATCTGACCTCAGGGGTGTACCAGTCGCATCGGAATCCGAAGCCTAACACGTCAGTATGCAAGTATCGAAAAACCATAATGGCAGACTTTGTGGCATGAGGGGCTGCCTTTGAATCCAACTTCTCCGGGCCTTCGTTCGCACGAGCCTGTGCTGTCTGCAGCTGATGCAGCCTGCAGCTGGGATCGAACATCAGAGCCACCGACCATGAGGTGTGCTCTCAACCCAAGCGCAGCCCACACACTGACAAGCATGGGTCATGAGGAAGTAAGGAACAGACGGCATAACTGCTCTACCCGCTGCTCCCAACTAAGTCATCCCCGCCAGCATCCATCAACCCTAAACTGACTTCAAGCAGAAGCTAGCAAGTTCGAGCATCATTGTCCTTATGACTTTGAAGGCAAAGCAACTTTTCAAGGGAACTTAAATCCGACAGCCAAATCTACCCTTCAGCCAAAAACCCTAGGCCATCACCCTTCTCAATCCTCCAAGCCCCAAACTTTGAATCCTAAAATCCTTGCCGCGAAACCGCAAGCGGAAGAATTCCTCAGAGCTATGCAAGTAGAATCCTCACTGTACGGCCTCGCCCTCAACCTTACCAAAACCGAACTACTTACCCACCCACAAGCACCGCCAAGGGACGTCCATTACGTCAACGGAGATCCAGCAGTAAATAGCACCGAAGTTAAGTACTTGGGATCCTAAAACGCCTGGCTACACCCAAGTTAGGTAGCAATTGACGCTAGGAAAGCCAAAGCGCATGTAGCGCATCTCAAATTACAAAACGTCTGGCACAGCAGACTCAACATTAAAACCAAAATCAAGCTCTTCATGGCCAGCATAGTTCCAGTGTTACTGTACGGTCTCCAGGTAATTACTCTGGAAAATACACACCTTAAAACCATAGATTCGTGGTTCCATCGCTCCATTCGCAGGTGTGTAGGAGTCAAAGCCTCATACTATTCCCACGTGACCAACGAGCGCGTTTGGAAAGTCTCAGGCCGCCCAACTCTGCCATCCAGTTGCAACAACTTAGAGACATCCTGGCTAAACCGCCGACAAACCCCCTTCACCATGCGGTTTTCCCCGATTATAACCGTTATAAGGATAGGCTCAAATTCACGAAATCCAGACATAGAGGACACCCAAGCCGGTACTGGCTAGAACTTACCATAGAAAGAGCTCTACCTATTTACCATTACTACCTTGACCACACCGCCCATCAACAGTTCAGCGACTTCAGAAGGGACTTCTTGGTACTATAGCAGATGCTTCAACAGCACCTGGTGGCTGCGCCGACGCGCCAGCCAGAGTTAATCCGCCTGTTGCAATGTACTGTCGGGAGCGCAGCCTCCTAAACCCTTTTTGAACCCAGTCTCTGCTCCTAAACCCTAAACCCTAAACCCTAAGCCCTAAACAAATCCTTGACCCTTAAAAGCCGGCCAAAGCCCTCCTCAAGGCCCCACCTCCGCCGCACGGCGAAGTGCTCCCGGCAGTGCCGGCCCTCCTCGGAAGCCAGGGCCTTCTGGAGACCTGGACAAAGGAAGGCTTGGGGTTTGGGCTTGTTTCTTTAGGCTTTAGGGTTTAGGGGTTTAGGGTTTAGGGGTTTAGGGTTTAGGGTTGTAGGATGCAGGGAATATGCTGGGAGCTTTATGGGTTTAGGGCTGAGGATTTTCAGGAGTTCGATGGCTCGACTCTCACACTCGCGCAGGTATGTTGAGGGTGTTGGAATTTCGGGGGCTTGGGGCTTAGGATTGGCCGCTTGTTGGGTTGAGTCGTCCTTGCAAAGCCGGAGCGAGGGCAACTATCGGGCAGTTAAGCAACTACTAGTACAGTGTAGGTGTATGGGGTTTAGGGTTTAGGGTTTAGGGTTTAGGGTGGTGTTTTGGGACGGCAGGGACTGACCGCGACTTGCTCGGACTGGCCATTTGCTGCGACTCACAATGCGTCCGAAAGAAAAGGTATTTGGTTAATTAGGCCTTGCAAATGGGTAGTTCTCTAAATTCGGGTCCCTTTTTTGGATCCCCAATACAGTACGGTACCCTTATAAAAAGGACCCTCAAAGGGACCCTATTTTAGAGAACTACCCAAATAGGGCTAGTAAACAAATATATCATACATGGCCATAGACTGTCGAGGCTATAAACCAAAACCCCTGCACCCATCCCCACGTGCCTTCGATCTCCGCCAGGCGAAGCTCGGTGCTGGGCCGTCGCTCGGGGATCGGTGCAGATCCTTAGCCCCGGGTTCAGGGCTTCTGGGCTCAAGGCTTTAAACTTTAGTAGTTAGGGTCGAAGGCTGTTTCGGTGTAAGTTTGGACTTTTGGGGTTTTGGGTTACGACTCTCACTCTCGCACTCGGCAGGCAAGGCACCTCATATGTCGGTTTGGGGTTTAGGGCAGACTTCCGGCTTTGGTATAGATGGCTGAAGTCCTGGGTATTCCTCTGCCGGCACACTAACTAGCCAGGACTTAAAGTCTGGCGGCCGACTCCTGTAAACTCAAGCAGCAATCCTGGACAATGGCACAGCTTATAAACACCCTATGATGCAACTCTCCAAACCCCCGACCTAACCCTGAAAGTTCCAACACAGAAGATCAATCTACCTGCTATCGTTAAGGTTGCTGCTGCAGCCTTGTAGCTTACAGTAACCAGCGTGTCCTCGCTCACGCTTGACTCCAGGTCCACCTGTGCACGGCAGGGCTTTGGGATTGACTGTGCTGCTCGAAAGTTTAACGTGCCATGTTTCAGCGTGTCGGATGCATCTTTAGGCAGAGAAGGTTTGGGGCTGAAGCTGTATTGTGGACTTATATACAGATGAAGACACTGCACGCGCGTCTCGCTTGAAACACCGCCCACACTACCAGGACCAACACCAGCACCGAACAACAAGGACATGAACACCCACAGCACCATGGGCATCCCTGCAGTTTTCAGCGTCAGCAGGCTCATCATCGTCATCGCAACCAGTCGCGAAGCCGGAACCCTTGCAAAATCCCACAAACCCCCAACACAAAAAACCAACCAGCCGCCTCATCGCTGGGATCTGAGTATGGCCGCCAGCCCCTGGACCCGGTGAGAGGCGACCGCCGAGGCCTCAGCAACAAGGCATTCGGTGCAGGGCTTCGGGCTGTTTCGGGCCCTTCCTCCTGTAGCTTTCGAGTCTTATAATAGCTCTTGGGTCATAGGGATTCAAAGGGGCGAAGCGGGATATCGATTTCAGATTTTGGAATACTTTGGACTGTCAGGATTTGGGTTTCTACAGGCTGGAACAGCTGAAGCCTCGAGATCTTTTTTCTTTGGATCTGTTTTCCTACAAGCCCAAGTCCGTCAAAGCGTCAAAGCCTCGGATGTTGATGTCCAGGTAGACATTTGAAGTTGCTGTATCGTTGCCACTCGAGAAAATGCCACCTCCTTCGTGTGTGGTTGTGCAGCCCTGGAGGCTCATAACGCTGTTCGACTGTACTGTCGATTTCAGTGTAGTTTCAGCCTCCACTCCCATGCGCCATCAAGGAGTCCACGGCTAAAAGGGAGCAGGGAGGCTCCATCTATGAATCCAAGAACATGAACGTCTCCGGTGGCAAGCCACCGGAGACGATCATGTCCTTGAATGCATAGATGGCGCCTCCATTCTTTCAGGCGTTGCAGTTGGTGATGCGTGCCGACAAAGATGCCGTTAGGGCCTCCATTGACATCCGTTCGGGTCCCAGGCCTCTCCTGCACTCCATGAACAGCAAGCAGTGCTTTGCTCTTCTTCTCCTACTGCTCAGACTGACCCCGTGACGGAGAGATCGTCAGGTCTCCTCTTGATCTGCACGTCAAGTCGGGAAGCTGTCGGTTTCGTGCAACTTGGTCGGCAACGCGCTCAGCTGAGAGGTGAGAGAAGACGGCGGCGCACAAGAGCCAGCACACGGCCATGCGGCCGCTCTCACAAGCTTTCACGGACTACATGGATGCACAGCCCGGGCAAAAGCGTCAGAGCCCTGTGGGCTGCAGACGGGGTTTAGGGTTTAGAGTTTAGGGTTTGGGGGTTCAGGTAATGAGAACAAAAACACCCTAAACCCTAAACCCTAAACACTGGTGTTGGCCCATCTTCATAACAATCCTGACAAGCGTAGTTCGACACAGCGGGGTCGGGTGGTCGAAACCTTGGGCCTTGGCGGTAGCAGGGCTTCGGGAGCTTCGGACCGTTGACTCAAGCCTTTCGGGGACGGAGACTCGCAGGCCGGTTTTTTGTTTGCCTGGCCGGCTTTAGGGTTGTTTTTTTTAAAGGTTGGGTTCGACTCTTTCGTGTCAGCCAGCAGCGCCCAACAAGGGTTTCGGGTTTAGGGTTTAGGTTTAGGGTTTCCGAAATTGAAGCTGACAAGACCTCGGCCTCTTTTGAGCAAACCCGTGGTGCCATAGCCTAAGGCCTGCATGGTTCCGGAGCCTTTGCACCCATACATGCCAAGCCGAAGCGGGAAATCTCCTATTATAAACCCCCTAAGACTTTCGCCCTAAAGCCCGACACCCTTCATATGCACCCTAAACCCTAAACCCTAAACCCTAACAGGGCATGGGCCCGAAACCGTACACACTCTCTTACTATTGGGTCCATGCGGCGGCTGAAAAGTAGGGCCGGGTCGAAGGCGCTGCAGCGGCGAGAAGGCCGGGGAGCCGGTCAAGTCCTTTAGGACATTTAGGGTTTAGGGGTTAGGGTTAAGGGTTTAAGGGTTTAGGGTTTAGGGTTTAGGGTTTAGGGTTTAGGGTTTAGGGTTTAGGGTTTAGGGTGGTCAAGTCCTTTAGGACATTTTGTTATTGTTGTCATTATCAGTGTTATTATTATTGTGGTTCTTCTTGGTACTATTGCTAGAACGATTATTATTATAATTATTATTATTAGTAGTAGTATTATTATTATTAGTATTATTATTATTATTATGATTATTATTATTATTGTTGTTCTTCTTGGTATTATTGCTAGAACGATTATTCTTATTATGATGATTAAAACTATTATTAGCAGTAGTAGTATTATTAAATTGCTGTTGTTACGTATAATTACAGTAGCTGTTTGCCAGACTCTAAACCCTTATAAACCCTAAACCCTACACCCTAAACCCTAAACCCTTGGGTGGGGCTTGGGGCTCTGACAGTAAGGGTCCACGTAGCTAGGTAGCAGAAAAATAAACTTAAGCATTGAACAGGTTCCTCTACAGCTACTGTTGGGTCAAAATGCATAATAGACATTTGTATTTAAACACACACACACACACATATATATATATATATATATGTACACACATACATATATATATATACACATATACACACATACATTTAATGTATGCACACACGGTTTAAGGGTGCATGGACCCTTAGAGTACGGCCTTCCAAAGAGGTTTAGGGTCTCTAGATCCTACACTCTCGACCCTAATGTAGGGGCCTTCATAATTAGAATGGGGTTTTGGGGGATTCCTTATTATAATTATAGTCTAATTTACCCCAAACACAGTTCTAATTATTAAGGCCCCTATATTAACGCTCACCTGTGGTGTCGATCATCTCGAAAAGCTGTCGCAGGTCATCCTCGTCCTCGGCAGCTCGGCAAGTCAGGGCTAGGGCTTTAGGGTTTGAGGGTTTGGGGTTTAGGGTTTGAGGGTTTGAGGGTTTAGGGTTTAGAGTTTCATTTTGTCGGATTCAGGTGAAGGCTCTTTAAATGTGCTGTTTTTTTTTGCATGTCCGTGTGATAAGGATCCTACTGTATGACGGTGTCTACATGCGCCCATATCTATACACATATACATATAGGCATCTGTACATAATATCGAGAGAGAGAGAGAAAGAGAGAGAGAGAGAGAGAAACAAAAAGAGATAGACAGAGGGCGAGAGAGACAGAGATACCGTAGGACCCGCAAGACTTTAAAGGCAGGGCTGTGTACTTGGGGGATCATGGGACTTAGTAAGTAAGGTTAGAAGTCCCTTAATTGGGGTTATAAGTAAATATAAGTATAGTTACCTTAACTATAACCCTACTTACTAAGTCCCATGATCCTTTAAGTAGTCTGAATACCGGGCACACCGGCCTGCACGGGATTTCCAAGGACACCTAGGTAGGGGCCTTAATACTTAGAACAGGGTTTAGGGTTTAGGGTTTGGGCCTCAATAAGTAGAATAGGGTTGGGGTCCTTTAGAGTATGTTTAGAAAAAGGAACCCCAAGGAAAAATATTGGTAATTATTCAGGCCGCCATAGTGTATTCGCAAAACCCGAGAACTCTGCAACAAGCCGTGAGACCTCCTGCCTGCGCAGCTTTGCAAGGATCAGGCACGAAAGTTTGGGGCAAAGGTTTTCACTGGGGATGCAGGTTCCGGAAAACCCGAACCCTAAACCCTAAACCCCTAAACCCCTAAACCCCTAAACCCTAAACCCTAAACCCTAAACCCTAAAGGCTCTGAAACCTTGCAAAACAGCAAAGGCCTGAAAGACATAGATTTCCTGAGTCAGGGCTTCTGGGGTTCGCGTCGAAGGCTCGCCCAAATCTCCGGTAAACCGTAAACCCTCCAAGGAGCAAAAGCAGCCGCGATTGCAAGACTCTGGGTTTAGGGTTTCGGACTGCGTGCATGCTGGGCGCAATGTCCATTACACGGAGTCGGCTTTGAAACTCTGCGTCTCTGCGGGCACATTCTAAGAGCTCTTCGTAGGTCACCTTGGTTTTCGATGTGTTGGGGTTGGAGCTTGGGGTTTACAGCTCGACTTACATACTCGGACCCTGATCTAACAATAACATTGACCCGAAATAATGCTCACACCTCTGGGTGTGTCGAGGCCGGACATCTACGTCGACTTGAATGGATAGTTGTTAGCCCAATGATATCCCGGTATAATCCATATGCAGTTGTTCTATACTCTACTCGGCTCTACCCCTAAAGTATGCGTCAAGCGACACGTTGGATTGCGTCGAACTTTGATATTTCAAGGCTTCTTCAGGCTTGGATTGGACAAATGAAGTTTTGCATTTTGGGACCATGGTACCTTACCTTACCTTACCTTACCTTACCTTACCTTAACCTCTCTCCTTTAGGCTTTCCAACCGTAGAGTACTCAACTCTATAGAGCCTCTGAAAACGGCCGGAGTGCAATACATTCCTCAATGCTCTCCATCGAAGGCCAAGTTGTGTTGGTAAAGCCTCTGCGCCATAAACCCTGAAGCCATAGCATACGTACATATATATATATATATACATACGTATTTATTTCACACAACATACACCTTCACATACCAAGTTTAGACTTTGCATGGTCCAGGTAGTTCGGATTTCGGATTCGGCGTCGATGGGGCCCAAGCCTAAACCCAGAACAAGTCGGTTGTTGTACCCATGGGCAGTCCATGATTCCCTGCGACACATATCACATGAAGCCTGTCCAACCAAAAACGAACTCATAAGTCATAACGCCCTTTCAAAGCATATGGAAAACTACCCCTAAACCCTAAACCCTAAACCCCCTTGTAGAAGTCCGGTCAATACTGTTTCGGATATGGGGTCCAAGAGTCTTGACCGTTGTTGTTCTCGTCCATCCGGTCGAATATTTTCATCAGGAAGCGCTTGTCCTTTCAGGAGTCAGGGCTTTATTGTAGGATTTATAGGGTTCAGGTTTAGGGTGTCGTATTACAAGTGCACAATGGCATAAACACACAAAGAAAGACAACATAACGGTATGCAAATAGCAAAGATATATGTATACATACAAACATATGTACATCTACATAAATATACACACACACATAAAGTGTCTATGCATGTACATATGTATGTATATATATATATATATATGTATGCATATGTAGAGATTATGAAAGGGGGCTGAAGGGTTCTATTGGGCTTAGCTGTTTTGCTCTTCGGTCTGAAGCTTGCGGGGGCTTTCGGGATGTTGGGGGCAGCGGCTTTCGACCCATTCAGCGGGAACCGCAACGGTTTAGGGTTTAGGGCTTATAGGGCTTATTGGGCTTAAAGGGCTTATAGGGTTTACAGGGCTTATAGGGCTTATAGGGTTTGTAGGGTTTTTGGGTTGGGATGTCGATATCACCCGTCGCGACGCTGAAAACCCGCGCCAGCA